GAATCAATCACACACACACACCAAGAGCATAATCGATTATGAGATATTGCTTCAAATAGACTCAACGATCAGTGAACCAATCGGCATATTGTTGGAATTCTGCTTCCAACAATCGGCCCTCAAAGTCCTGATCGGAGCACCCGGAGCTGCGATTTATTTGATTGTTGCACATTTTGTAGTCATTTTTGTTTCAATAAAAAAGGAAAATCCTCATCTCTCGTTAGACAGTAAAGTTACAATAGAAGTAAATAACGGCCACAAGTTTGAGGAAAGATTGACAGCTTGTGTTTGAAGTTTGAATATTCTTCAGTATTGCTTTGAAGACCCAGAAAAGGTATTCAGGACAGCCTCACATATGATGAGTATCACAGAAACAAGTATATATGGTGTTTATACTGAATATAAACGTTTATATTTATATGTATTCCCTTCTTTAGGGTGGGGGTGTTGGTGTAATTAGTTGCACAGAACTGATTCAGGTTCCTTATGCACAGAGAGGTTTGTGTTGCCAACTGGCCTCACGAAACTCGATAAAAAAAAGAAAAAAAAGAAATCACTTTAAATCACAGCTTCAAAGAGCTGTTGTTCCAGCCAAAAGTTCCTCAATACTGAACATCAGTGTTTCCTCTTCTTAGAAGCCACTTCTGAGCTGATTACACTGTTACCGGAGGGAAAACAAAGTGACTGAATGTTCTCTTTTTTTAATGTTTATAGGGGTAAAAATAAAACATGGACGACCCTAAAGTCACATTAAGATATAGTTCTATACATCGTAGATATCGACGCATTGGCTAAAATACATTGTAGGGTTTTAACAGGCTCATCTTTGTGTGGATGAACCAATGACTGGAGTCCCGAGTCTACTCTCCTCTTCACTAGTCTCCTCATGACAACAGCATCGATCGCCAAATCAATCATACGAAAAGCCAGCCGATCTCTGGAGCACCGTGAGTGAGATCAACGTATTAGCATTAACATTTCACACAAATGACTAAAGAAACAAGAGTTCATAGACAGTTAATGTCACGAACTCAATGTTAAACCAGCCTCTTCTCAGGTATATTCTGTTTTAAATGAAGTCTTGTCAAATCGTGTGTTAAAAATCAGTTAGTTTGGTAAACACAAATACACTTAGCAGTCCGAGGTAGAAAATAAAACAATATCAATCCTTCAAAATATGCCCACGAAATCTGCTCCAATACTAATACTTTGGATCAGCTCTGGACATGTTTCGTACGACTAAATCAATACCCGATTATTGGAGGTGACACCAGCATAGATATCTGTGAGTCGACTCGTCTTAGTCCACTAATCGTTGTTTTGGTTTTAGTCGACCGAGATTCGTTTAGTTGTGTTTTTTATGCTATTTGCATGATTCTCTGCAGAGAAACTAAGTTTTATTAAATCAACTGATTGATTAGTCGACAGAATCGTACGAGTGTTAGTCAATTAGGAATGTCTTTAGTCGAAAACAATCCTATTTGCGAGTTTTAAAAATAAAATCTCCTATTTCTTTACATAAACACAATAGATAAGGGTTTCTTATGTTTGAGGGAGATTTAAAAACACTGTTTCTAAACCACCGCAAACATGCCTTCAGATTTTTTGCACAGCAATTCCTCACAAAAACAATGAGCCCATAACATTTAGGAATGTCACCATTCCAGTGAAACACTGACTGAAACACAATATTTATGTTAAGTTACACCTGTCAACCACATCTGCTGCACAGAGGCCTGTAGTCTCAGCTAAAGGTAATGTTCTCTATCTTTACATTCACTGGGAGCCTCTTAGGAGCGTCTCTAAATGTTTGAAATGGAGATGTCGTGTTTTAATGAGCCAGCAGCTCGGCTCACTGTCACACCAACTCACTGGAAACGCTTCAGATTCTCTCATTGTTCTTTTAGCTCATTAGTGGTAAAAGTAAAGATGGGGGGGGGGGGGGGGTACAGTAGCTTATTAGAGAAGACTCTCAGCGTCATTCCTGCACCGACTGGGTCGTCTAGTTAATATGGTCGACTCTCCACTGTCCCACTTAAAAATACACCAAATAGTCTGAGCTCAGACATAAATATGACTGACTGACTTTTACACAGAAGAAGCAGAGTTACTGTGAGGAGTCAGGTAAAGGCAGGAAAATCGGAGAAAGTGGCGGCATGAGCAAGAAGTTAACACCAAGAAGTTCACAGTAATTTAAGTCGGGACTACTTTTCAAGGAACTAAAAAGGTTCCTTTAGCCCGTGACATTGAGACTGGAGCTTAGTTTATAATTGCTGTATAACTACAGCTGTAGTAAACCAGCCGATGTGTGTCTTGCTAGAAACAGTGAATACACCTTGATGAAATCCATGGAGCTCCTCCGGATGATGTTATGAACCCAGACATGAAGGCGTTTAGTTTCCTGTGATATCTGGGACTTCCACAACAAGTACTAAGCAGAAATAGAGGCTATTTCTTCCATGGTTGATGGCGAAAATAAATGGCTTGAGTTCATAACTGCTTCCAGGGCGATAAGCCACGCCCTCTCTCCGGCACGTCTAAAGCAAATAACCACAAATGGTCCGCCGTGAGTAACGTTTATTAAGAATAGTTTCAGGCTCTAAAAGTAGCAACAAAAACTAAATCTCCATGATATAATAATACATCTGCCTCTTAAGTAGTACTCGTACAGAAAAGAAAATGTTTTGCTCGCCGAGTCAAAATTTCCAATCCCGGACGATGTTTAGGGATCATGAGAGAGGATGAGAATAATAAATGAATCTGCGACGCATCGCTGGAATACAGACGAGGAATTAGTTGTTTGGGTGGAACTCTCTGGAGGGGAACTCAAAGCTCTTTGCTGCCACTGTTTCTACGGGATAAAATAAAAACATCAACACATTCGTGTGACCTATAAAACTTTGCGAGGGCTCAAAGAATGGACACTCACTGGGATCATCATAATCATTACCCACAGCAGCTTAACATTGAGCCTCACAACCCAGAGCCATAACATGATACACTTCTGTCCTTTCATCCTCAGATTAGTACTGGGGAATGTTTCTGTTTTGAGAGGATACTTGTCCTTTAAGAATAAAAGATGTCCACTCTTCAAAATCTTCCATACCTGTAGAGAAACTTGAGGAAGCCACATTCCTTCTTACACAACAGTCGCTCGAACAAAATGTTTGGGTGTGGATCCACAGCCGGGTCTCAGGCTCTCTTTCTTCATTTTGCTTGAACCTACAGGTTATGCAATGCTGCATATACATTTCCTAATCCCTTGTACTGTATTAATAGATGAACAAAAATGCTGTTGCGTGGTAGGCGGATAGATTAGCAGCCAGAAAAGAGAAACAAACAACATAAATCAGCAGTTTGTGTGCAGAGTGCCAATAACGGAAAACTATAAATCTATTACGAAGGCGTTTCCTGAATTTTGGAGGCCTTTTGCACAAATGTGGAGGGTCCCATAAATGCTCTCCACTAGGCCGCATTAACCGCATAATATTTCGGGTGGCCGGTTACGGCTGCAAGGACCTCTCGTGGTTGCCGTCAACTTTTATTGCCTGTTTTTTAATACTTTTATACTGATAGGGCCCCGCAAGTCATAACACAGCTGAGTGCATCACCGAACCCCAGGCACTGCTCTGAGACCAAACACACACACAGTAGGGTACAGACCATAGACCGTCTATGGGGAAATGAGTTTACTCACTTTTAGTGTTTTGGATGGTGTGATTGGCTAACAGCTAACAGAACTAGCAGTACAAACACTGGCGAGTACACCGTCGCCATTGCCGAGTACATCGTCGCCACTGTAACTGTATTGTGACTAACTTCTCTATAAAATGGTAGACGAGGCACTTAGTAAACCTTTTGTGGTTTTGTAAACCTCCTTGCCACATCATTTAGTGATAAAACACTATTTACATGTCTGGGGCTCATACAAAGGAGGCCAATTCGCTTTTAAATGCTTTAAAAACAGGTCTTAAAAACCTTAATTTGAGTAAATATTTTGCAGCCAAATCAAATAGTTTACAGGATGTTCAGCCTTTGTGTCTTTATAATGCTTTTAATACTCAACTTCTTTCTTTACAGGTCTTGTACAGGGACAATATAATGTTGGACACACACCTGGTGGAGATCTGGACTCTACTGAGAGCACCTTTCATAGTTCAATCTACATTTTGTCTCCATGAGACTAAGATCTCTGTGACAAAGAGACGTCACTCCCTACTCAGATATGTGCACTCCTGATTCAGCAGCTGATTTTACTATTTTAGTCCTAAGATGAGTCACTCTGCTTGAAAAGGGGAAAAAATGCTTCAACATGAACCAAAACCAAACAGAAAATACCCTCTGATGACTCTCTCTCTCACACACACACACACACACTTTTATTTGGATCCAACCAAGAGAAACAATAGCGGCAGCGACCTGTCAATCACAGTAAGCCCCGCCCTAAAGCACCCCCTGCTTTATGGTCTGTTTGACTCTAAATGGACCATAATGTACTAAATGAACATCATGCTGTATTGAAGAAGACTTGAAACTAGAGATTGAGACCATAAACTCATGTTTACAATGTTTACTGAGGTAATAAATCAAGAGAGAAGTAGAGTCATTTTCTCATAGACTTCTATACAACCAGAGGAGTCGCCCCTGATGGTCAGTAGAGAGAATGCAGGCTATAGAAGGATGTTGTTGCGGTCTCTCCAGCTGCCATCGTTACCAAAGAGCCACATGTTTTACAGATTACTACACTTGTACCTGTCTCAGGTGTGGCTCACATGCCTTTGAGGGCCAACTATCATTCATTCAAAGACTCCACCCATTGACTCACACTCATTCAAGTGGAGATAAAGGACCCATCAGTTAAACACAAGCTGCTAAGGTGACAGATGTATACTAGCCATAGTTTGCACATCAATATCGGTCAATATGGGAAAATATCGGCGCATGTCTCGCGCCTGGGGATTTCTCATTCACATGTTGGGAGCTCGTTTAATAATTCTCACCTTGAACAATGGCTATGGACTCGAAACTCTGCAGCTCGTGCAGTAGACACGTCCTCTCCGTCGGCTGGAGGTGGTAAATAAAGTCTTTGGCTCTCATCGGAGAGTTCAGCGGCTCTCTCGGCTCGTTCCTCGCGCCGTGTGTTCCCATCTGTCGCCCATTTCCCGGCAGCCCCGGGAATATCACCGCAGCCGTTGATGGTGGCGGTTGCCTCAATCCCGACGGTAACTTCTGTCCAACCGGTCGGAGGACTCTCTGTAGGCAAATCTTGAGCATTATGGCGAAATAAATAAAGTACTACTAAAACCAGTTTATTATTAACGCTTCTCAGAGCTCCGCCGTCGTCTCAACCGTCGGCTCCCAGCAACAAACGGCTGGCACGCGAGCTTAGAAGTACTTTCTAGCTAGATTCGAGCTCGCGACGACTTTTAATGGCCGTTTCTCTAGAACTCGAGTTAACTTTCATGTACATGTCTTCTCCTTCGTCTCATGATCCATTGAGACTCAGCGGACAGGAGGAGTTAATGCACATGAAGTTCAAGCTAAAGCCGAACAAGAACTAAACAGCATCAAGCCGGAATTAAAAACACTGATTTCCGGCAGAAGCTTTTCAAAATAAGACGTGGTGCTTCCGGCCACACCTTTCATGTTAAATCCACTGGCAAAAAATATACATTATAAATAATGCCTTCACTACGAATTACGAAAATACTTACTGTTTTACTATATATATATATATCAAAATGATATATATAGTATATACAATAATTATACAATTAATAAACTATCATTTAAACATATATAATAAAAGGGCATAATGAGAAGTAGCATATATATATATATGTATATATATATATATATATATATACACCACTTCTCATATAAATTTACATTTCTGTTTCCAGTACAGTTTATTCATTTTGCAATTATTGTTCACCTTTCTATCACAAATATATATATGTAATATGTTATGTATGTTACATTTCATCCCTCTATATTAACTTCACATTTTTCCTGACTTGTTTTTCTTTTTATACATATTTAATGAGTGTCCTTGTCAGAAGCCTATAGATCAACAACTTTCATGGCCAGTAACTGCCTCTCTGTAATCGTAAATCGTTTATGTAACTTTTAACATAAAGTATCTGCAAACCAAATAGAATGTTTGTTATTTGTTTCCTTCAAATTACAGCAACTTCACTCTCGTCTGAATACATTACCGTCATCTCTGATTTACTTTGATGGCATCCAGTAATATTGTGTACATTGTTCAATAGTATTATGTATAATAACTGTGTAGAGGGGGCTTCTTGAAGGCCTCTCTTCATCTCCAGAATGAATTAAATACTGAAGTCCAGGACCAGTAGCACAGTAGCACCTTCACTTTGAAATGTCACCTAAATGTCAGTAAAATGTCCCATAAATGTCCCTTTCAGCGAGAGTAGTCTCCTCCTGCAGGTGAGACTTGTTTGATTCATACCGGTTCACCTTTCTCAGTCTTCATGGCCCTTCACACTGTGCCATGGCAGAGATCCGGGCAGGTTAATGGTGTGCCACACTGTGAGAAATGAGTCAAATAAAATCTGTCTCAGGGTCGTAAAATATCAATTATGAGGCACGTCAGATCGTGCAATGAATGTCTGGTGAATCACAGCGCTAGGGATCGAAAAACAAAAACAAATGAATAAACAAAACAACAAGCACAGACAGGTCACATGATCCATCGCTACCATTGTTATGTTTTTAAAAATGCAGCATCAAACATTCGCTCTGCTGCTGGAACCTTTCAAAATAAACTTGAGTAGTAGCAGCAATGAGGTTTTTGGTCTTTGGTGTCCAAATATAAATTATATATATATACATATATATATATATATACATATACATATACATATACATATATATATATACATATATATATATACATATACATATATATATATACATATA